AAAGAATCTTGCAAGTCAGAAAGCACCAATAAAGGAGAATACTTAGAGCTCAGAGTTGAAATGAGGGAATCTGTGGTGCTCTCTGAGCTTGACCATTTTCTTGCAGACGTTTCATTACCCAAACGGGGTAACACCATCAGTGCTAGAAGGGAGAGGGGTTGACAGAATAGAGGAGGAAGAGAATGGAAGGAGGAGAAGGAGGGGGGACTGTGGGATCCTTAGTGCTCTCTGAGCTTGGCTGTTTTCTTGCAGATGTTTCATTACCAAACTAGATAATGTCATCAGTGCTAGAAGGGAGTTTTGTGGAGTGGAGGAGAACTGTAGAGTCCTTGGTGCTTTCTGAGCTTGACTGTTTCCTTGCAGACATTTCATTACCCAAACTAGGTAACATCATCAGTGCTAGAAGGGAGGGGGGGTTGACAGAATAGAGGAGGAAGAGAATGGGAGGAGGAGGAGAAGGGGGACTGTGGGATCCTTGGTGATCTCTGAGCTTGGCTGTTTTCTTGCAGACGTTTCATTACTCAGTTCTTTGATTGGGGTGTTGTTTATTTGATTGTTGGCCTGATGTTAATCTTGGGAGTTAATCTATGCTCATCTGGGTGCTGATTGCTGGTGCTGTTTTTGTCTTTTTGTTCCCTTTTTGTCTTCTCAATTGTCACTTTTCTGTCTGAAAGCGGTTCGCCACTCCCTGACTTTTACTGTCCAGAGAATAGGAAGGGTCATTTGGAGATGTTCCGCTCTCCTTGCTCTTTCCAGGGCTGAGATATCTCTTATCAGGCTGTTGTCTTGTCTGCAGCTCTTCTTCCTGTTTCCCAAGGTCAGCGTCACTGCCCATTACACATCCAGGGGCTCAACAGGAAGAACTCTCCCTTCCTCAGCTGCAGAGCTGTTTCTGCTGAAATGGAATAACAAGAGTTGGAAGGGACCTTGGAGATCTTCTAGTCCAACCCCCTGCTCAGGCAGGAAACCCTACACCATTTCGGACAAATGGCTGTCCAGTCTCTTCTTAAAAACTTCCAGTGTTGGAGCATTCACCACTTCTGGAGGCAGGTTGTTCCACTGGTTAATTGTTCTAACTGTCAGGAAGTTTCTCCTTAGTTTTAGGTTGCTTCTCTCCTTGATCAGTTTCCATCCGTTGCTTCTTTTCCTGCCTTCCAGCGCTTTGGAGAATAGCTTGACTCCCTCTTCTTTGGGGCAGCCCCTGAGATATTGGAAGACTGCTATCCTGTCCCCCCTCGTCCTTCTCTTCATTAAACTAGACATTCCCAATTCCTGCAAGTGTTCTTCATAGGTTCTAGTCTCCAGGCCCCTAATCATCTTTGTTGCTCTTCTCTGCACTCTTTCCAAAGGCTCAACATCTTTTTTATATTGCGGTGGCCAAAAGTGGATGCAGAATTCCAAGTGTGGTCTTACTAAGGCTTTATAAATCGGTACTAATACTTCACGTAACTTTGATTCTATTCCTCAATTTATGCAACCAAGGATTGCATTGGCTTTTCATCTCTGTATAAGACTGTCCTCCTTCCCCCACCCCTTACATCAAATTCCCAACTGAGACAAGCTCACCTATAAGACCCATAAGGCGGAGAGGACTGAAAACAGATCTCCTCTTTAAAATCAGCCATCGTGCCTCTGCTGCAAAAAAAAGCTCCTTTTCCATAATGGCTGTGGAACTCCCTGCCTCGTGACTTTTTTAAAACTCTGTCTCTCTGCCATTTTTAAGGCCTCCTCTTTAGTTTGGCACTCTGCTTGTTATTAAACAGCTCTCAAGTTGGAAGGGACCTTGGAAGTCATCTAGTCCACCCCCCTGCTCAGGCAGGAAACCCTATACCATTTCGGACAAATGGCTGTCCAGTCTCTTCTTAAAAACTTCCAGTGTTGGAGCATTCACCACTTCTGGAGGCAGGTTGTTCCACTGGTTAATTGTTCTAACTGTCAGGAAGTTTCTCCTTAGTTTTAGGTTGCTTCTCTCCTTGATCAGTTTCCATCCGTTGCTTCTTTTCCTGCCTTCCAGCGCTTTGGAGAATAGCTTGACTCCCTCTTCTTTGGGGCAGCCCCTGAGATATTGGAAGACTGCTATCCTGTCCCCCCTCGTCCTTCTCTTCATTAAACTAGACATTCCCAATTCCTGCAAGTGTTCTTCATAGGTTCTAGTCTCCAGGCCCCTAATCATCTTTGTTGCTCTTCTCTGCACTCTTTCCAAAGGCTCAACATCTTTTTTATATTGCGGTGGCCAAAAGTGGATGCAGAATTCCAAGTGTGGTCTTACTAAGGCTTTATAAATCGGTACTAATACTTCACGTAACTTTGATTCTATTCCTCAATTTATGCAACCAAGGATTGCATTGGCTTTTCATCTCTGTATAAGACTGTCCTCCTTCCCCCACCCCTTACATCAAATTCCCAACTGAGACAAGCTCACCTATAAGACCCATAAGGCGGAGAGGACTGAAAACAGATCTCCTCTTTAAAATCAGCCATCGTGCCTCTGCTGCAAAAAAAAGCTCCTTTTCCATAATGGCTGTGGAACTCCCTGCCTCGTGACTTTTTTAAAACTCTGTCTCTCTGCCATTTTTAAGGCCTCCTCTTTAGTTTGGCACTCTGCTTGTTATTAAACAGCTCTCAAGTTGGAAGGGACCTTGGAAGTCATCTAGTCCACCCCCCTGCTCAGGCAGGAAACCCTATACCATTTCGGACAAATTGTTCTAACTGTCAGGAAGTTTCTCCTTAGTTCTAGGTTGCTTCTCTCCTTGATTAGTTTCCATCCGTTGCTTCTTGTCCTGCCTTCAGGCGCTTTGGAGAATAGCTTGACTCCCTCTTCTTTGGGGCAGCCCCTGAGATATTGGAAGGCTGCTATCATGTCCCCCCTCGTCCTTCTCTTCATTAAACTAGACATACCCAATTCCAGCAACTGTTCCTTATAGGCTTTAGCCTCCAGTCCCCTAATCATCTTTGTTGCTCTTCTCTGTGCTCTTTCTAGAGTCTCAGCATCTTTTTGACATTGTGGATTACATCCAGTGGATGTAATCCATACCCCATCCAAAGTCAGACTATTACCCACTCCGTTGCCTGGACCTAGCCAACAGTGATAGCTTCAACAAAGCGTGACTACAGAAACTTGGCTTCCGGCAATGTGTGAACCCCCACGGACCCTTCCTTCTCCCTTGATGAGTGGACCCTGGGGATATGGCTAGAATTGTGCAATTGTTAGAAATTCGCCCAGGAAACAGGAGACAGAAGAGGCGTTGACTCTCTCCAGCCAGCTTTGCTACGTGGTCCTTAAGTCAAAGAAGAAAAGAAAGAAGAAACAGTCAGGTTTGATCCCAAGCCAAACTACCTTCTGTTTACATTACCAATCCTTAAAATACTACCAAAGTGTCTCTCCCCAAAACCACTATAAGAAGGAACATGCAAATGGCCTTGTCAGCCAGAGGTGTAATTAGATAAAATATATACCTTGAGCCAAGTACAGACCACCCTTTAGGAAAGAGGACTGTGGTGCCACATCAGCCCAGCTGCTTTGCATTGTTCCAGCTGGTCTTTCTTCAACATGGTGCCCTCCAGATGTGGGTGTGTGTGTGAGATTTCAGCTCTTACCCCTTCCAGCTAGAGCTAAGGCTGAGTCCAGCACATGGGGAGGTGTCAAGGCAACTTGGTTTAATCCCTGGAGAACGCTCTCTGAGAAAGACCAACACAGGTGTCTTATGAAGAAATGCAATTCAGGATATTAAATCTCTCCCAGCAGAAGTCCCTAAGTCAGCTTATCCAATTTTGGCAACCTTAAAACTTGTGGACTTCAATGCCCAGAAGCTGGCTGGGGAATTCTGGGAGTTGAAGTCCACAGGCCTTGAAGTGGTCAAGGTTGAACACCCCTGCTCTAAAGTCAAATTGTGCTGGGCTGCTTTGTGCCTCAATACTTGGGATGAACCTAGTCCATAAGGACTATGAGACCCAGAAAATTAATTGAGGCTTTGTTAACCAGGACTTGTAGATTGTGCATAACACACCCATCCAGATATAATTCATTGTCTCATTGACCCGGTTAGGTATCAAGTTCTTAGTTCTAGGCTGCTTCTCTCCTTGATTAGTTTCCACCCGTTGCTTCTTGTCCTGCCTTCCAGCGCTTTGGAGAATAGCCTGACTCCCTCTTCTTTGGGGCAGCCCCTGAGATACTGGAACACTGCTATCATGTCCCCCCTCATCCTTCTCTTCGTTAAACTAGACATACCCAATTCCAGCAACCGTTCCAGTTTTAACCTCCAGTCCTTTGATCATCTTTGTTGCTCTTCTCTGCACTCTTTCTAGAGTCTCAACATCTTTTTTACATCGTGGTGACCAAAACTGGATGCAGTATTCCAAGTGTGGCCTTACCAAGGCATTGTAAAGTGGTATTAATACTTCACGTGATCTTGATTCTATCCCTCTGTTAACGCAGCCCAGCACTGTGTTGGCTTTTTTGGCAGCTGCAGCAGACGGCTGGCTCCTATTTAAGTGATTGTCCTCTTAAGGACTCCGAAATCCCTCTCACAGTTGCTACTATTGAGTAAGGTGACTAGAAGACCTCCAAGGTCCTCCCAGCCCTAGGGTTCTATGTTCTATATTTATAAATCAAATCAAAAATCTCCGTTATTTGGGCTGCTCCTGATCAAAGGTCCAAGAGCAGGACTGGAGTTACAACAGTTGGCAAACTTTGGTGGGACATTGACCCAGCCTGATCAAAATCCCCAAAGAATGGGAAAGCTGGAAAAGAGGACAGAGAAATGAAGTGGGCCAAAAGGATTTTACCCCACACCAGCTGCCGCTTCTCCTTGCTTCTTGGACTCAGCACCCTCTCATCCTGCTTTCCAGTCTGCCAAAAGCACCTCGGAGCCCCCCCCCCCGCCCTGATCAAACCCACCCCTCTCCCTCCCCTGCCTAGCTGTCTCTCCTCCCCTCATCTCCTCTTTCCCCTGCAAAGAAGGGCCAGGCAAACCCAACCAGCCAATGTAATCCCCGGAAGACTTGAATTGAAGGGGGGGGGGACGAGCTTTCTGGAAAGGGGGGACTGAAGGGAAGGCAAGTCTGTGCTGCTTCTGCTCCAATTTGAACCAGACAGACAGCCTAGGAAGGTGAGTGCAAGAGGAACGGGACCTAAACCCAATCCCAACATCACCACTATCAACCGATGCAAAAGCTCATCTAGCACCAAAAGTGAAGGGCTTTGTACTCTTGTGGGTCTAAGTCTCACTTCGGTGGTTGTTGTTGTTTTCTGCAGGATCTTTGGGAGGCGGGGGAAAGGCAGCTGGACCGGATCCCAGCAAGCGTGAGCCCAAGTTCCTCAGAAGGAGAATGTCTCAACTGTCCGTGAAGGAACATCTGGATGGGATCCTTTCGGATTTTGAAGGTAAGCGCTGGAGAAGGAATTGGTATCTGGGCGGAGGAGATAGATGGTTTACTGCTTTCCCAAAGGTAGTTGCTCACTTTTTCTCTGAGGCTTCTGAGTTTCGAAGAGATTTTTGTTTTGTTTTGTTTTTTTGAGTAGATTGTCAAAGGCAGGGTTAAAATGTTGATAACTTTGCAAGCCATCCAGAGTCTTCTAAAAAAAAGGGGGTGGGGGAAACGGATTTCTTTGGTCCAAGAAAACCCAAATCAGTGCAGAAACTGCAAAGAAGCTTAAGTCCCAGTTCTGGGAGGTGGGCAAAAGGAATCCAACCTTGCTTCTTCAGAAGGAAAAGTTCTTTTAAAATCTGGAGAATTCTTCACACTCCAGTTGTTCACCCCCCTGTGTCTTCACTTCTCCTCTGCAGAGGCTACAAAGATAGGAAGCTGCTCCCATTTGATGCTCTGGTTTTGAGAAAGATGGGTAGTGAAGGAACTGTTGAAGTTGTCACCAAGTCACCTTTTAAAGGAGACATTAAATATATATATGTATATTAAATATATATATATATATATATCTAAATACAGAGCTATATAAAGCTGCATTTTGACAACCCACTTCTTGCAAGCTGGCATTAACCATTACTGTCCATTATTTACTACAATATTTGTTAAAGTGTGGTCCTAGGACTCCTGGAGGTCCCCCAAGACAGTCTACAAAATCACAATTATTTACCAGCCTACACTGAAAAAAAAAATCATACAGTATTACAATCCCATTAAATAATTATGAGAAGCAGTAGCGAGCAGCCAACAGGTCTATTTTTATTTTTAATGTGGTAAATATTGATAAAGCATTTTTGGGGTCCTCCGTAATTTTTAAAAGTGGGAAAGGGTCCTCAGAGGGAAAAAAAAGCCCTGATTTAACATATTTACGTACATGCATTCTTCACTTTTTCTGTTCGTGCAAAGGAAACATTCTTGCTTCTCCAAATGTCAATTTGTGCATTGCGTGATTTCCTCACCTCTCTTTCTGATTCTATCCGATTCCAATTTTTTTTTCCTTCCTACTCACCTATCTTCCCATCTTTGAAATGAGTGTTATTTTCTTTTGAAGTGGTTTATAAGGTTTTAACCCCTTCTGTTCTCTGACCTGTTGAAGAGAGTAAAGAAATACAACGCTGAATGTCTCAGTTATTGTGGGAAGAGAAAAAAAATTATAACAAGATTTCTTAGACTGTAAAGCTTTAAAACAATATCCCAAGGGCATAGACAAATCTCAAGCCAGAGAGCGGTGGAATGAGATTTTTGATGGGTGGAATTACCAACAGACCTCAACATTGATTTTAAAGGTCAAAAATGGATCCTCAAATAGTATTTGAATATTTTAAGTGGATCGCAAAGCCTGTTGCTTTCTTACGGAATTTGACTTGCTCGGTTGCACAATTTTAAACATTTGAAGATGTCAGAAGCATGTGGCTGGCTGTGAAATTAAATGTGGCGTGGATCTAATTCAAAACAGTCCACAGTGAACAGGATTTGGGGAAGGAGATTCTGAGGTTTTCCAGGGATCTACCAGCTCATCTCTTAAGTGTATCTGTGAGCTCTGTCTCCAATCCTGCCTGTGTTTTTAAGACTTTTGCCTTGAGATCTACCCAAAGCCAACACAATAGGAAGATAATGACAAGAATTGGGAAGTTATTTCAGTTGCAGATGTATTCTGCTCATTTACATTTCTGGATTTAATCCAAGCTGAAGGCTGCAGAGCAAGCTGGATGGTGAAGGACAGAACGCATGAATTCTGCCGTGCAAAGCCAGAGTTGGCTTGCTGGATAAGTTGCAGCTTGCTGGTGCTAAGTCAGAAGGGGCCAGTTGTGCCTCTTAGGGCTTTCTGTGACCCCAAGTTATTTATTTTATTTTGTTTGCAGCCTGCAGAGCCCTGTGGCCCAATTGCCCAGAGTTTTGAGATGGGACATTTGAGAAGATGGTAGCGCAGTTCATCCGAGAAGCTTCTTGATTGAAAAAACAAACAGCAGACCTCCCCCTCAAATCAAATGAAAAATGACCCTTTCTTCTTTCCCCCCCCCTTGCTCCTCCCTTCATTAGCTCAGCATCTCAACAATACTTCTTTTGGAGCTGGCAGCCTTAGTAAATCCAATAAAGAAACAGAACAAATCAAAAATGACATGCTCAGTCAAGGAACTGCTAAACAAGCTAACAGTAAACAGCCCAACCAAAGAATCTCCAAGACCAGGGGTAGGCAACCTTGGCTCTTTTATGACTTGTGACTTTTGGGAGTTGAAGTCCACGAGTCATAAAAGAGCCAAGGTTGCCTACCCCTGTCCAAGACCATCCCCACCAACTCTGACAGGGCAAGCTACTAGAACAGCCCTTAATAGCAATGAGGATGTTACCTAGTTTGGCAATGAAACGTCTGCAGGAAAACAAGCAAGCTCAGAGAGCACCAAGGACCCCCACAGGCCCAAGGACCCCTCCTCCTTCTCTTCCCCCTCCTCCTGCTCCCCCTCCTCCTCTCCAGAAACCCCACTCCCTTCTACCACTGATGATGTTACCTAGTTTGGCAATGAAACATCTTCAAGGAAAATAACCAAGCTCAGAGAGCACCAAGGACCCCCTCAAAAATGACCCCAACTATGGAACTATCCATCTCTGTTGGCCAGCTTCACACAACCCAGTAAGCTGTCAATTATTGTTTGCAAAGCAGACGGCCTAGGTTCACACAATGTCCTAAGTTGACCAGATGATGGTTTAAAAATATATATGTATGAACTTATCCAGAAATGGGAGAAAAACATAACCTGTGCATGACTTAGGGGCCAAGATACTGTACATGGCAATGGGTGATTTGTGGTTTAGCTCCAGAATTTGAAGTTTGCAAACAAAGGCTTCGCATGTTAGATGAATCTGGCCATTAGACTATCAACAAAATGCTTTGAGTTGAGAAATTTCCTGACAGTGAAAACAGTTAACCAGTGGAACGACTTGCCTCCAGAAGTTGTGGCTGCTCCAATACTGGAGGCTTTTAAGAAGAGACTGGACAGCCATTTGTTTGAAATGGTATAGGGTCAACTGCTTGAGCAGGAGGTTGGACTAGAAGACCTCCAAGATCCCTTCCAACTCTGTTGTTCTGTCACTGCAGGAGTGTATACTGTAAATGCCAGAAAATAAATGAACAAACTATGTTTTAGTGTGATTTGTGAACATGTATTGGAACACCGAAAACATCATAGTGGAGCTTGGCTCTGAAGACATCCAGAAATATAAACAGACTATGCAGTGCACATAAACTGAAATGAACTCCCATTTTTATCATCATTTTTCCTTCCCCGTATACAACTGACTCTAGTCTAGACTGTCTTGTTTATATTTTATTGGAAAATAAGTGCCCCCAGGAAAGACTCTACACCAGTGATGGCGAACCTTTTAGAGACCGAGTGCCCAAACTGCAACCCAAGACCCACTTATGCATCGTCGGGTGCTGGGTGGGTGTGGCCCATTGGGTGGGCATGGCCCATTGGGTGGGCGTGGCTGCAGTGGTAACGGCAGACTGGGTGGGACTAAAAAGTTCAATCAATCAATTTCAACTTTGCGAGATCTTTTTTTTTCCGCGAGAAGTTGAAATTGATTGATTGGTCGATTGATTAAACCTTTTTTTGTGTGCACACGGCGGCGGAGGTCTAAAGCGAAAAGGTTTTATAAAACTGAGCTGAAGGCCCAGGACTGGGGCGACGGTGCGTGTGCCCACAGAGAGGGCCCTGTGTGCCACCTGTGGCACACGTGCCATAGGTTCGCCACCACAGCTCTATACTCTTATGCATGTGGAGCGATAAATCCCGAAGAAGTTTCATAACTTCCATAGTAGAATTTCTCAACCTTAATAACTTAAAGACAGGTGGACTTCAATCCACACATCTGAAAGTTGACAAGGCTGAGAAACAAACCATTCTATAGATTTCCTTGCTTCACCAGTAGAAAGTGTTGAGCCAGCCAGGAAAGTTAAGCTAAAAATTCAGAATATATGGGAGTATATTTGTATGGGTGCATTTATATAAGGAGAAAAAAATAATGAACATATAAGATATGCCCTCCCTCTCTGTATTTTAATATGTTTATATAAGGGCTGGGTGTGCCCTTTGAAGAGGTACTTTTAAAGTTGGAATTCAAGCCGACCTAAGTGGTGTGAAACTGCCATAACATTATATTGCATACACATGTAAGCCCTCTCTTGCTTTCTTTTTTCCCTACATTTGAGAGTGTAAAACGTTATCTTCGATTTTACTTTACTTTGACAGAGCAAAACTGGATTTCTGTAGCGGGTTCCCTATAAAAAGTCTTCATCGTTTCTGGACAATCTGCCTGGGATCTTCACCGCAGTTGGCTTAGATTCATATCTGGTTCTAAGCAATGGCTTGCTTCAGCCAAAGCTTGAGGAGCAAGCCATGGTTCTGGTTTACCCAACACATTAAGCCGTTAAACATAGTTTCTGTTCGGTAACGGCCTTGATTAATGTCTTATGTCAAACCAAAACCAAACCAAGCATAGGTGATTGGTAGACCCAGCCCTAGGACTTCATGTCATATGCTGTGTGCTTGACCATTGTCTGAAAAGGCTAGGTCGACGCAACGAACCGTATTTATGTCACAAAACAATGTGTGAATCCAGCCACTGTGCTACAAAGACTGCTAAATGAGGAACTGTACTGTTCCAACTTATTGAGTGTCGTCCCTACTAGCACTCAATTTGGTGGTCCTGCAAATAGATTAGGCCAGGGGTAGGCAACTTCGGTTCTTTGATGACTCATGGACTTCAACTCCCAGAATTCTGGGTGTTGTCCAGGAGCCATAAAGGAGCCAAGGTTGCCTACCCCTAGGTTAGGCTATGGCTTCCATCATTAACCAGCCAGCCTAGTTAGCTTGTGGCACACCCTGCATCCCAGCTCTTCCCAGAGCAGGGGCAGGTATGGAATCTGTAGGCTTCTCTACAAAAAAAAAACTTGATGTCCAT